CATTCCAGATGCTGGGACAAACCCACGGGCTGCCAGTGCAGTGATTGTTCCTGTGTGTGCTATCCAAGGCTGTTTTGTGAGAGAGCATATGTATCCTTTGAAATACTAGGCTCAGAAAGGTTAGGGGGTATGCCAATCATCCCAAGCTCCTCTCATTAGGAACAAACTCCTTTCATTCACTTTAATAGCACTGTGCTATTGAGCCTAGCAGGTCAAAGTCATGTGAATGGCCAGTAACTAGATGCTTTTTTTCATCACAAAGCATATTTTGCCAGATGATTTTATCCCAAAAGACATGTTAATTTCTTTGACCTCCTAATACACTCAAAAAAATGAGTATAGTGAACTGTGGCCGTATTGTTACGTGGAGGCCAACATTTGGCTGTGAAAAATTGGTAAAGAGTAGGGTTGACATGACATTTGTTAATACATGATGTAATTGCAGCCTGAAGAATCGAGACTGTTTTCTGTTGGCCAGGATGTGTATAGGGGCAGATTAAGCTTTTTAATTTTTTAAAAAATGTATTTATTTTTATTGGAAAGGCAGATTTATGCAGAAGGAGATATAAGAGAAAGATCTTCCATTTGCTGGTTCACTCCTCAAGTGGCTGAAGTAGCTGGAGTTGAGCCAATCGAAAGCCAGGAACCAGGAGCCTTTTCCAGGTCTCCCATGTGGATATACAATTCCAAGGACTTGGGCCATCCTCTACTGCTTTCCCAGGCAACAAGCAGGTAGCTAGATAGGAAGTGGAGCAGACGGAATACAAACTGTGCCCATATGGAATCCCAGGACTTGCAAGGCAAGGATTTAGCCTCTGAGCCATCACGCTGGTCAAAACTATGGAGGTAATTATAACCTGAAATAGTGAAATATATGCATGGAGCCTACTTAGTCAAAGCACATATTATATTCATTTATGCTTTTTAGCTAGATGAGGCTTTTTTTGTTTCAGCATATTTGGTTGTGAACTTGCTGATGAGGCTCACAGGTAAAAGAAATGAAAGCGTTTTGGCAACTGTGATAGTGAAATAGAGAACTTAATACACTCCTTAGAGGCATATTGGATAAAATGTTATGCCTTGATTTTGCAATTTTGAGGAACATAGTATGGACCATATATTATAGTAGGGTGGGAGAAAGCGCTTTTTTTAATGCTCGTGTATTGTGGGTCACTGCATTAGAGGATAATAGTTTTAAATAAAGCCACATCTCTAACAAGGGACCAGATAATGAGGATAAATGAAATCTGCTGGCAGTCTCAAAGCTTCATTTTAGCCATTATTTATAATCTCTTCTCCTAGCAAACCATTTACTGTGTAACAAAATTGACTAATTTGCATTTATTTCTTCTCTGTATCCCATATTCTCTCTGAAAAAGGAGTGAACACGTATAGAAATGGACAAGAGAGAGGGAAGAGGATGGGGCTAAAGCCAGGTTGAGTTGGGGAATCATAATCCCCAAACTGGATAATCAACTCGAGAGTAATCAAGATGTATTTTCAGGTCTTAACATTAATCTTGATATTTAATCATTCTGGACAATGTTGGAATCGACATATTGTATAATAGCATTAATAAAAATTACTTTTTATGGAATGGTTCAGAATAAATATGGCTTTCTTTTTAGCACGAAATAGGAATCTGCTGAACTGGTCTTAATGTTCTCACAGCACACACAAATAGAGCTTGGTTTAATTCCATATCCTCTTATCTATAAGTCCTGCATTTAATTTACTACCATTCCAGTTGATTTATAGCTTTGCTTAGCAAAAGTACAGTCTTGATTAGAAGGATATTCTCACGTGGATGCACCTTTTTGTCTTAGACCTTCTAATCATTTTGAAAACGACCTGTAGATTCCATCATAAGGCTAGCTTTGCAGGTCTGCAGTTATTTCTCACTCGGCTATACTTTGGACAGTTGTAAAATTTGTTAGGAATATGTGTGGTGACACAGTTTTGTCAGATACTGTCTCTGTATCCATGTTCAAAGCTAAAGGGCTTTGAAGATAGAGTTATAGAGCAGATCTGCTTTAGGAAATACCAACTCCCTAGCTGGCTCATCTGTTATGGAGCTGAGAGCCAGGGTTGCTGTGGCCCTTAGGCTGAGGGATTCTTCAGTCCACGTGCCAGAGGACTCAGTTGTTACGCCTGAGGATTCCATTTTGGAGCTGTATCTGTGACCCGTGCCTCCCTGAAACAATATGGGCTGCATTTTGTTGCTCATTTCAGTGGAAATAACTTAATTTTAAAAGCCAGTGGTTTCCACAGGTTGACCAGAATTGGTCATTCTCCACAGTGTGCCATTTCCCTTTCTCCTGTTGTGATTGTGTGGTATGACTGTTGGGTGGCATCTGTGATTCTAGGAGTAATAAAATGCTGTTGCTCAACAAGTGACAAAAAGCTTTTATGCTTTCATTCTGCTAAGAACATTATTACCTTTCTCTTGATTCTGCCAGCAGGAAAAAAAAAAATGAGTCACTCTTATTTGGGCTTTATAGCTTAGTGGAGGAGACTTTTGACCTATGAAAAAATTTGTTTCTCACAAAGGATTCACTTTAAAATCTCTATACTTGCAGTTCAATTTACAGCACTTTTAATTGTTCTTAACCATAGGAATTCAGAAAAGAATTAAAAGTCAAATGTGGCACTAAATCAAAATAGGAAATTTTTAAGTTTTTTTTTTTTTTAAATCAAAGTTGCTGCTGGAGCCTTCTCAGAGTACAAAAGTAAATGAAGCAATGTTATTCATGAGTAAATTTTATTTTAACCAACATGTTCTTTGATTTTGGTCTAACCTCGTATAAACAGCTTTATTCAGATTGTCACATACCATACAATTAGTCCTAACCTTTTTAATTGTTAAATTATAAGGCTTTAAAATCTCTTGACATTTTTGTTGGAGAACACAGAATGTGCTACCATGAAGAAAGGACTTATGTGTCTAAATTACACCCATTTGCTTAAATCACTTTTTTTTATAATGTGTAGCCAAATTTTTCTTTCAGAACTAGAAATCTTATTAGAAGTTATCTAGTTCAATTAGAATAAAAATCACCCAGGGAGCTATTCTTTTCTCAGGTTATACTTGGCTAAAGCATTAAACCTCCTGAAATTCTGATCAATTTTTTTCAACTTCCATCCATCCCACCATGCTTATTAAAATATCACTGATTTCATCTGACACTTTTGTCTCACAGATAAGAAGACATTCTCTCATAGTTTTGACTGGACACCTTAATAAACCAATAAGTTCTTTGCAATTTTAACATGACATCTTTGATAAATAAAATTAAAGATTCAAAATTCCCTTCACTGAATGATGGAACATAAATTACTTATTACTATGTATTTTTAAAAAACAAATTATGAAGAATCTAATGTTGCTGAAGAAAAAATGCAAAGTCACCGATCAAGAAGTCAGTATACAGAAAATGTTGTGAATTTATCATTGTCTCAGTGCTATGTCAGGCATGAAGAGATTAGTAGATCTCCTTTATCCTGAAAATGCCTGAGAGTAAGCGCTCATATTTCTTCTCAGCTGCCTACAGACATTTCCCACAGCGCACAGGGAGACCTTATTGTGTTCATCATTAAACAGCTGTGCTCTTGTATTTTTAGTAGAAGCACATTCATAAGAATACTGCTATTAGATAGGAGAAATAGCCATAGAGATATGCTTTAATAAAAAACAGAAACTGTTCAGAAGACTTGATAGGTTTTAAGGGATAGGTGTGTGAAGGCCTAGGGAAAGAACTAAATGGATTTCCCAGAAGACCTTTTAATTCCTGAAAAATTGGAAAATTTCAAGCTGAGGGCGGGAGATGTAAAAGAGGTTTTCATTTGTCCCATTTCCTCTTCAACACCCATACATCTATACAGATAGAATAAATGTCTGTGATGTTACTCACCATCTCTGAAAAGATTTCTCCATCATGGGTAATAATGTTCCCCTGATCTTACATGCACCTCCAGTATCTGGCTAGCCTGACACGCCACTTTGGAACCAAGTCAACCACAGCTTTGGGAGAATGACATGAACTGTTATGCTTTGGAAAGTTGGTTTTTATTATCGCTGTTGCAGAGTTAAAATGATGTAATGATTTCCATCATATGGAATGCACTATTGTAGATGAGACATGAAGAAACAGGATAGATTCCTTTTAACTGAACCCTATTGAAATTAAAAAGTGTATCATTAAAAAAAAAACTAGAAGCTGCTTACACTTGTTTAGAATACTATCTTTTTTAGTGTATCGCCAGAAGCCTGTTTTGTGTAAAGTTTTTGGGCTAGGATACAGAGAAACTGTGAAGATGCCCTACTCCAAAGAGGTTTGAAGCATTTATTGCTTTTAAGTGGAATAATACTGTATAAGGGCAACTATGAAGATGGACTGGGAGGCAGTGCCACTGGTCTACAGGAAGTCATAATATGGTTGTGTTTTTTGCTGTTGTTTTGTTTTAGAAATACTATCTATACTGGATGATGATGTGGAATCTGGTTGTTTTTTATCTTTTTTCCATCTCCTCTGGTTGTTTTCCTGAATACATGTAATTCAAGGTTGAAGGGAATTAGGCAGTTTGGGAAGGTGTCAGCACTAGATGTGTTGGAACTCATTCTGAAGTGATGATTGTCCTTGCAAAACAGGATGTTGGTTATCTATCTCTGAAGGCAGTTCCCTTCTTCTAGACCCTTATGGTTATGAGCTGCAGTTTGGGAATGGGGACAAGGTTTTTGCCCTAAACTGTCCTATCCTGTGTGCAACCACAGAGTGGTTCAAGTCTTCTAAATGGAATTGCACAGCATGTTTGGCACACACATATCAATATTTTCGTTTTCCATGTCCATCATAGCGATCATCAATGAAAAGAGAAAACTGATATGCCCTTCTAAAACAAAGGGAAAGGAGGAACTGAATTCTCTCAAAAGCCCAGTTATAACCATTTCTTTCTGTTTTTGTAAAGAAGACTGTACTAATAAAACTGCCAATTTCTTTCAGGTGGGTGTACATGGCATTAGAATAGAATTCATCAATGAAAAAGGATCAAAACGCACCGCCACCTACCTACCCGAGGTTGCAAAGGAGCAAGGTCATTGTTGTACTTTATTTCATATAATCTGGTGAAGAATTTAAACAAGTACACAAATTGAAGTGTGACATCTGACCTTGCAGTTATGTTTTATAATTGATTGATGTCAAATTATAAGGAATGAATTTCCATCACTGCCACTGCAATGTCTGTATCAAGTTGGTGAATTATACAGAAGTTGAATTTCTGCTGTGAAATTGGATAACATAAGCACAGAAGCATTTTTTTAAAAAAGATTAATAAAAATTGTGTTTTACTTTGGGCAAAAGTTGCTACCTTCAATTGTCATTTTCCCATATTCTACTGTGCTTTAGCCTTGTGATAAAACAAGCCTTTTGCTTGATAGTCACATAGTTCATTGTCATTGTCAATATCAAAGGTTTCATTCTTAGGTGGTTTCCATTATCCAGTTCTGCTAATACAAGTATGATAGACTTCTCATTAAGATTGGGAGCATTATAAATATATAAGATTTATATTTAATTTATAAATATAAATTTATAAATTATATTTAATTTATAAGATTAGTTTGTGCTTCCTAATCAACATTTCCCTGTTTTACATAGACAGTACAGACCATTACAATCTGCACAGAAAATAGCCCTTCACTCCATAGTATTTTGTCCTCATTACACACTTAAAACATAGTTTTACATTCATTAAATAATTTTTATTTAATGTGATTTTTGCAGAGATTTTTATTATCAGGATAAAGCATCACTTATTTCCCCCATGTATGTTCATATACGTGGGAGATACAAAACAACAAAATATAAGGTCATCAAACTTCCATATAAGACTATTAGATTTTATGTGGATTGCCTTAATCTTGTCATGTCATTGAATTCATGAAACATATGTTAAGAGATAGAGGGTTTCATATGTATGTATGTATGTCATCCATATCAGAATCAATAAAAATGCCCTTGAATATTGCATACAAATATGCTCAGTTGATTAGAGACGATATTATTACAAACAACAGTTACCATGAGGGGGCATGGGAATCCTAACTTCCACCAAATTGTCATGGTCAAATATAGGTTTTCCTTCCTTTTAAATAGGACAGTGGTTGTGATTTGTTAGATTTGTGACTGAGCAGTTTCTGACAGGCTCTTAGACTCCTTGACTTCAAATATGTGGTTGAGATTTTTTAAAAGCTGGTATCATTAGCTAAAATTTAAAGTGTGTGGTGATGATCCAGTTTCTATGCAGTTTCTTAGCTCTTTTGTATGAGTGCTTTTAGGACCAGAGAAGTTGATGCTATTTGGTGACAATAATAGCTGATCTCTGCAAAGACATTTGTATTTAGCCAAAAGTGTTTGTTGCATGTGCTTAACTGGTATTTTATCTGCTTGGCTCTCTACAGGATGGGACCATATTCAGACCATAGACTCCTTACTGAGGAAAGGAGGATACAAGGCTCCAATAACTAATGAATTCAGGAAAACCATAAAACTGACCAGGTATAGAAGGCATTCTCCAACACAAAGCTAACCATTATATTGTAACATGGATGAAATTTTTGGTCTGTTTAACCAACTTGCTTCTCTTTTCTGAAATAGTGGAAATAATATTAGAAGAGCCATACTGGGGATAGATAGGTGGGATGGAACTCTGCTTGGTAGTAAAAGCTGTATGCCCATCCTTCACATCTTGAGCTATGTGTGATTATTTTTGCTTTATACAGGCAAGCCATCTGAGAAGTTAGACTGTTACTAGACAAAGTACCCACAGCAGCTGTTAGCTGGCTTTTGGCCACAGAATTCTGATCACAGTCCTCAAATTTGATTTTTACCTTAGAATGTTGCCAGTGATGGAAGTCTATCATGAAAACTTCCTGTAAAACACAACTGATCACTTCTCGGCCTTTTGGCTACGATCAAGTGTAAAAAACAAAGGAGCTGAACTGAAATACTAAATAAATTTTGGTATCGGGTAATATGGATGCATATTTAAAAAGGCAAATATCAAAAAATTTATGAAAATGAGTTGTTTCAATTCCATAGAACGGCACTGAATGTGTATAGCCTAAAACTGGAAGCTCAGGGAAGTTGCAAATTTGAAAATGGCCCGCAAAATTACTACTCTCTTTGAGCTTGCAGAAAAGCCAAGCATATGGGGAAAGATAATTATTGATCTAAAACAGAACATTATGGATGATATAAGATCATAAAATAGAGAAAGAGGAACTCCACAAGGTGGTGGGGTAAGTGGGTAACAGGAAGTTTCAAAGAGGAGGTTAATTTGACCTTTCAGTTTAGGGTTGGGCTTAAAGAATGGATAAAATGTAGACAGCTAAGGAAGCCAGTGATTTCCTTCAGGAGAATCTTGTGAGTTTCAAAGCATGCAGGTGGCAAACTAAAAAGTAAATCGTGAGGCATGCAAGCCAATGTGATTTGGCTTGGCTTTCAGCGTACAATGAAAGGGTGGTCACTAAAAGTAAATATGGACCAGAAAGTAGCTTGGGTCAGAATGTGGAGAATCTCACATTCCAGGCTAAGAAATTTGGGCCTGATTTTATAGGCAATTGGATAACCATCGAAGGGTTTTAATCACCTCAACTCGAGATGTGTAAGGTTGAATTGGAAAGAGGAAAATAAGCTAAGAAGTGTTGCTGTTATCTAAGAATCTGTGACAACAGACCAAAGGAACAATAGAGCTTTCAAGGGGAGCTGTGGCAGTGACGCAGCAAGAAAGGTGGGGACAGATATGAAAACATGGAAGAAATGAAAGGATCCGGTCATTATTTGGCAGTAAGGAAATCAAGGCTTTAGTTTAGATAAAAGGGACCAAGGTTATGCCTTTAACCAATATGAAAACCACATGAGGAAAGTTAGCTGCATGCATTGATTCTGGATTATAAGGACTTCCTGAAAATTCTATATAGAACAATCTGGTAAGTTACAGAAGATATATGCCTCTAGAGATCACAGCTAGAAATGATGCTTGAAGATAATCTGTAAGGGGGTCATATTTGAAGCAGTAAGGAGAGTTCATTGACGGGACTTAGGATAAAGAACTGAAGAAAAAAACAGGAAAACCCAGAGGCATGGATAGGAGGAGCAGTGAAAAAGATGAATCATCTGAGAGGCAGAGGAGAAGCTGGAGTTCATGGAGGTATAGAATACATGGGCATCCCTTCCCCATCCCTCTCCATCCCACTTGGAACCCCACATCTGCTGTAATCACCTCATCTATATAACAGACATTTCAAAGTTAAGGGCCCGGCACAGTAGTCTATCAGCTAATGTCCTTGCCTTTCATGCACCGGGATCTGATATAGATGCTAGTTCTAATCCCAGCAGCCCTGTTTCCCATCCAGCTCCCTGCTTGTGGCCTGAGAAAGCAGTCGAGGATGGCTCGTGGGAGACCTGAAAGAAGCTCCTGGCTCCTGACTTCCAATCAGCTCAGCTCTGGCCATTGCAGTCACTAGGGAAATAAATCATCAGATGGAAGATCTTCCTTTCTGTCTCTCCTCCTCTCTGTATATCTGACTCTCCAATAAACATAAAAAAATATGAATATTATTTTAAAACTTGGGACGAGGGAGCTTCAGAAAGGGAATAGTGAGTGGCAGTGCCATCAAAAGACCAAGGAGAATCCGGGGCTTCCTTCTGATAGAACAATTACGTATGACAGAGGAAATGGTTACCAAGGAGCAATAATCAAGGAGTAGTATAAAATAGAGAGAAAAGGTAGAAAATGTACATTGCCCTTTTGAGAAGTCTAACCATGGGAAGAAACTAGACCCAGGGAAGATGGAGGGTTCAGGACACCAGGATTGAGGAACTGTGGTGCTTGCTGCTTAACCACTAGATCTAAGTAGATGTGCGAACAGAAGAGGGAATGGTAAAGGGAGGAGAAATGGAAGGCATCTGAAGAAATTAGTTTGTATACATGATAGTAAAAGTTGGTTCTTCCCTGCTTCTCCCTGTTAGCAAAGCAGGGCTAACAGAAAAATCAAGTTTCTAGAAGAACAATTTAAACAGGGAGTGGTAGAGAGGAAAAAGGAATGGACTCGGAGTTTGGATTCCTGAGGTCTGATATTAGTTTTGTGGCCTAGCTCTCTAATACTAGCAGTGTGACCTTGAGCAAGTCACTGCTTCCCTTTGAGCCTTTCTTTTCCTTCCTCACCTTAACCGTGGTATATCACCTATTTCTTGATGTTAAGTTTTCCCTTCCTTGACTTTCTTTCAGGTACCGTAGTGAAAAGATGACCCTGAGCTATGCTGAATACCTTGCTCATCGCCAGCATCATCACTTCCAAAATGGTATTGGGCATCCCCTTCCGCCATACAACCATTATTCCTGACACTGAGCCGCACAGCCAGTCACTGGGCCTCTCTGCAGACCTCTTCCCAGGAGACCCTACACCTTCTTGGTCTAGCTATCTCTTTTACTGTACCATTTTATGATGATAGTTTCCGTTGCCGTGGTGAAACTTTGACATAGTCGGTTAAGATCATCATGGTAACGGATAAAAATTGGCATTTGTTAAGATCATGTTTTATTATTTCAGATCATTGATTTTTTTTTGCAGCATATATAGCTTTTGGGGTTTTCTTTCCTTACAATATTATATAGACTTTTGCTTTGCTTTCTGAGTCAGGTTTCTGTCCCTCTCTCCCCTCCTCCCTCCCTCCCTCCATCCCTTCCTTCCTTCCTTCCTCCCTTCTTTCCTCCTTTGGACTGTGGATGGAAGAAAGCATGCAGTTTTAAGGATTGTATTTAGGTTTGTGTTTAGCCTTCCTCAGTAAGATAGTTATTTTTTGATAGCAGAATTTGGGAATCATTCATATCAAATTCAGGTATTTGTATATTACTCTTAATTTTGTCAAAAATCCACTTTGCTATGATATCTTAGTTTTGGGGTCTTTACTTTGTAGGTATGTGCTTTTCCCGTGGTTAAAACATAGGAATTTTGGTTCTAATAGTCAGAATTCAGAGGTCCTTGATAGGCCTTGTCCCAGAGAATGAAAAATCCTTTTGGCCTACTGTGCTGGTTATCATAGAAAGGAGAAACTGCCTCATCACTTTATAAAATCATTTTATGAACTGAAACACTCTTTGAAGACAATACAAGCTACCAGTCAAATAGGCTACAGAAATCATTTTGAAGAACAGCAAATATTAGGAAGTGAGCAGATAAAGAATTTAGTGCCTTTGAGAATACAATTAATGGAATTAAGAGGGGTACAAAAAAGGCAATTTAGAGAAATATTCTTGTAAAGGCTTATTGTTTCTATATGTGAAACAACAGATTAGACAAATTCCTTACTCTTAAGTATTTTTTTAAGGTGGAGAAAATTATTTTGAGCAAATAACCAAAAAGAGACATTTGTCTATTTTATATTAATTTAAATTTGCTAGGTTTAGGTTTCAATAAATCATAATTGGCCAGAGACAATTTTAGCTGCCATCCAAGAATATGATAGAGATAGTGTAATACAATATAAATTCATATATGATGTGATTTCAGATATGTTTATCATGGGGATAATATTGCTAGTTTCAGAGATACTATAAAATAGTTTGAATCTCTTTCTGCACTACAGATTTTTTGATTGAGTCATGTTTACCATGTGTTTAGCATGTTGTGTTACAGCTGTAAAAATAGAGTTGGCATTCAGATATGCTATTGGTAGAGCCCAGCTCATTGGCAGGGCTAGGCTTCCCCATGGTGCATCTGAAGAGAACTTAACTGATGCCAATAGAGACGGTCTGTATGTATTTCCCCGAGAAAAAAAAAATAGATGATTATAGAGAAAGGTGATTTTTTTCATTGTATGGTAATAAATACATATGCTTAGGGGAAATGCATACATTTTAAAAAGGAAAACAATATACCAAGCGATGAATTAAAGTATGCTGCAGAATGAATAGTATAAAGCTAAGAAATGTCACTGAATATCAAATTGATATAGTTTATGTACCTAGTTGCTGTGTCAAGTGAGAAATTGCTAGTTCAGAATTCAAAAATTCCTTTCTAGTCTGTGATATTGGCTACGCAACCTTCTGCTTGCCACTGGGACAGAGCAGACTGCTATAGCGTTTGGTGCGAGTCCTTAGATGTTTGTTGGTATTCCTTCATCCACAGCATCCATTGTTGAAATATCTATTTTTCAGTTGTGATGCCTTAACTAAGAAGCCAATTGCTAGCCTGAAATGCGATCTAGGTAGCCACTTCCATTGAGCTGAGAGGTGAGTCCGAAAAAGTTTGATGTTGGATTTTGGAAAGGGATCTGAGTCCTGTCATTTCTGCTTGGGAGTACTTTGAAGCAGATCAGTCTTTCAGTTTAAACAAGCAGACAAACAAACAAAAAACAAATGGCTACTTGATGGAAACTTTTTGCCCTTATAGGGAAACTGAGCACAAGTTAACCGATATTATCTGCTGCAAAAAAAAAAAAAAGAAAGAAAAAAGAAAAAAAAGAAAGAAAGAAAAAGAAAAAGGAAAAAAAAAAGAAAAGAAAAAATACAAAAAAAAAAACAAACTGAAGATAGACAAAATAGACCAATATTGTTATGAAATCCATCATGTCCATCATCTCATCAGTTCAACAGGCTCCTCGTCCTGGATGAGCTTATGGTTAGAAGTTTTTTTTTTGTTTTTTTTTAAGAAAAGATCTATTACATGCATATATGTGTGTGTATGCATATACTTACAGATACATACATACATATGTGTGTGCTTATGTATTTAACGGTGCTAATCAGTCTTGAGCAGGTCACGTGACTGGTCATGCGGACTCTAAAATCATATCAGATTTTTATAAATTCTTGATATATGCAGATGTTATACAGATTTTCTTACCAGTGTAATAATGTTATACTGAAGATGTAACCATCCTGCAGGCTTCGAAGGACGAGGTCAGCAATATTTCCCACCATGGCTTGGGGAAAAAGGATAGTTTGTCTCCTTTTGTATTCAAGTTAATGCACAGTGCATTTTTGTCTCTAAGTAGCTGTTGATTACAAGACTTTGTAGTGTAAAGGGTGTTATACAAACTGTAACGGTGTGCTTCAAACAAATGCTACACCTTTTCACCTTTGTCATGTATTACAAAGCTGTTAAATATGTGGTTTGAATTAACTTTGAACATGTTGAAATATGTAGCATGTGTCTTTAACTCTGCCGAAGATTCTAATTGCACAGGTTGTGTTCTAGCCATTTGTGGTTTATTTGTTCAGAAACACAAATGTGAATTACACTCATCACCAGAATATTGTATAAGTTCAGTGATCTTTGAACAGCTCAGAAGTAATACTTGAACTTCATTTGAGTAGCACAAAGTTTACATAGCCCCTTTTAAATGTTGATTAGTTCCATTTAAGTTTTCTCTTTTCAAATGCAACTGGGTATTTTTTTCCTCTTGGAAAATAGTACGTATTTGTATTTTACTTTGGTATGTAGCAAAGGCTTCCATTTCTGGAAGGGTTTTCTTGTTCGTAAACAAGGTCAGCCAGGTACCAGATTCTAAAAGAACAATTCCTCCCCAACCCAAACACACACACATGCCCTCCCCCCCCTCAAGTGGCCTTCTGACTGCACGAGCACGTGCTACTCCCCTCTCCATCTCCCCCCACCGTGAGAGGTTGGTGACATTGATGGAGGAAGTGCAAGGCTTGTCCTTTTCCCCCAGCCCAACTTAAGGCAGTTTTAAGATTTTTTCAGGCCAGAGTATACAGTCCTGAGGCCCAGCACACCAGAAGTTTGTATACTGGCCTATTTTCTTGTCTTCAAATGTGCAGGAAATTTGAAACTGTTATCTGGAATAGGTTCCATCTCTTACGTGTGTTAGATCAAACCAAAGAAGCCCCCAGCCATGCCCAAATGCTGCTCCAAAAGCCTGCCTTCCAGTCCTTACAAAAAACTTGCAGGATTAAATGTGTTAACTTTTTTATTTTTGTACAGTTTCTAAGTGATTTTTGCTAGTGATGTTAAATTGAATTAAGTTTATTTGAGGGGTGTGAACACCTCTTCCATTTAAATAAACTGGTGACTTTCCTTTTATTTTTTAAAAGTGGAAACCCATTGTGTGCCTCTCGATTTAAGGGTTTCTGAAAACATTATTCTTAAGACCAGCATCGATCCTTTATATACAAAGATATGTTTTTCTTGTTTTTTATTACTGTTTCAGAAGAAAATGAATCTTTTATTTTGCTCTGGACCCAGTAAATGTGCTGGTACATAGACGCACTGAAAAAATAAACTTTTGTAACCACCCTGGACTGCTTTTGTATATCAAAGTCGATTACTTTTAAAATATTTGGAACTAGTTTCTAAGTTATTTTAGTGTTTTATATGTTCCCCAAAGTTTCTTTGAATCTGTCACCAGCATAATGAGTTTTTGGTGATCCAATGGTGAGACTTGTAATGAGCAAAAAGCTACCTGGAGTAGCTCTTCTTTTCCTTCTTTCTTAGTAACCTGTTTTTGATTACAGTAAAATATCACGGATTACCTGAAACCCCTTCCAGTATCACTAGGTCCTTTTTCCTTCCACATTGAATTGCTTAATAGTTTGAAGAAACTATTGGACATGGGCATTTTATATGACATGTATGGCTTTAAAATATTTTTAAAAAATGAATAAAAAGAGTAAAAGAAGGTTTATGTGGGCCTGTAAGGTATGGCTGTGGAAAGATATTGTAGTAGTTTTGACACTATTGTTATTACCTTTAAAATCATTTACCCAATAAAATGTTAAAACTGATTGGTCATTTGCTGTTTCTTTCTTTAACTTGCCTCATCCTGGGATCTTCATCTCGGTGGTACTTCTGAAAGGCTAACTTCTGAAGTAACACAGTTAGGAACTGGTGGTGATTTATTTTCAAATTATCATGTAGGAGACAGCACATGGCTGCAGGTGCTCCCATGTGATGTGCTGACGTCATCCCTTTATCTTACACCGAATCCTGGCTTGGTGATGTGCCTTGGCCTGTATTTAGACAGTTTGATCTGACCACAGGTCAAGGCAAGTGTCAAGAATTGAATTCTGGTGGCAGCTTAGCCATGTGTTAGTTCACTCTAGATGCCTTTCAGTGAGTTAGCGGCTAGTGGGCATTTATCTTTTTCAGCCAGCTGGGACAGTATCAGTGCTCCCCAGAGAAACCATGAGATAAGGTGGGAGCCTTTCCTTTTGCTATCAAGATTTGGCCATATTCTCATTCAGGATAGAATTTAGAAAATGACCAAGATGTGGCCACCCAGAGCTTGTTTCTACTCAGCCACATAGTAGGCATTTCCACGCACTTAAACTTGCTACTTTCCAGTCACATTTCCAGTTCCAGATTGGGACACTCAATATGAGCCTGGGGCAAATGCCTGCATTTAGAATAGGGCAACTGGTGCTACTAACTTTCAAGGGCCAGATGAGAGTGTGCAGCAAGAAAGGAGCCTGGGAATTGGGGGAGGGGATTACTGCTGTCAGCTGCTGCCTGAAGTCTTTGTCTATGGGAAAGGCTACCTTGGACATTGTGGAAATACCTCTGGCTCTTTCGAAATAGTTTGCCATCTCAGATTCCTTATGTACACTTCAGGTTTAGTTGCTAGTTGAATGTATGGGAGAAAATTTTCTGTTGCATTGCTCCAAAACCCTGGTGCCATGTGAATTTTATGATACGTGTTTGTGTCAGTCACAGCGGCTAAAAACTGCCAATGCAGATCCTAGGCAACTATTGTGGTTTTCGAATAGTGCTCCATTAAAGCAGCCATCTGTTCAGGGTTTACCCATTTTCATCATTTGTGCTTAATGGGACATAAGATTTTTTTTAATGATTTAGGCAATATTAATAGTTTCAGGTGCAATGAAATAATTTAATGAGCCCACAGCATTCTTTTTTTATAGCATTAGTGGTTAACTCAATGGTCTGGACAAATTTCAACTTCAGTAATCACACTCCACCTACCTAAATTCTTCCCAGAGTTTAAGCATTTTCTCTCTAGATTTCATGGCCCATTGAACACTTTTTAAATAGCTCTGCTGCTTCAGAGGATAAGCATGGCTGCGTGGGACGAGGCAGTTCCTCTTTGTGGATGAGAAATACTATCATCTCCAAGGGGTCCCGATGGTGTGAGCTAGGAGCAAGCCTGCTGTGCCAAAATCACACCTGGATTCTGAGCTGCCAGCCGGGAAATCCAGTGAAGGACGGCCCACTCAAGACAGGCTTCTCCCACTTGGCTGCAGCTCCAACTGTGTGAGCCAAGACAGGTTGTGGGTGTGGCTGAAATGCTGACAGCAGTTTCCCATCTGTTTGCCTAGGCTTTTCACCTATAGGAGGAGACGATGGGGGATGGTGCAGCTGAGGCAAGCCCTGGGAGTAATGTTGGTGGATATATTTAAAGGCCTTCTTTAATATCAGCAGCCCTACAGGACAGGCTCTTGTGCTCCACACCCTGAGCCTGCTGAAGAAATCTTTCAAGAATTGAAGGAAATTGCCTTAGATACCAAGCGCTATTCTGAAACCAGCCTACTTCCTTATCCCAAGAACTTTAATAAAAGCCACCTTTTAAAATGACTTCCCCGAGTATAGCAATGTCCCCCCTCCACGTATACAAGCAGAATGTATTTACAAATCTCTAGTGGATGCCTGAAACTATGGAACCCTATATAGGCTGTGTTGTTTTCCTATATATTAAATAGCTACGTTTGAATTTGCATATATTAAGAGATTAACAATAATCGTTCATCATAAAATAGGTCTTTACAGTATATTATTCAGATTGCAGTGTCATTAATATTGCATTTCAAGACCATTTTAAAGCCAAACTAAGGTTGCCTGAATACAAGCATCAGAAACCCACGGCAATCTAGATCCTAACTGAGCCAGCTAGTAAGGAACTAATGGCCCCGGAGCCTATATAATGTGCATATGCAGACAAAGGGATGATTCATGTCCTGGGTGGAACAGAGAGGGATGGTGTGAGATTTCATCATGCTACTCAGAATGGCACACCATTTAAAACTTAGGAATTGTTTATTTCTGGAGTTCTCCATTTTTGGAATGCACTTGACTGTGGGTAACTGAAGCCACAGAAAGTGGCTACTGTATTATGTTTGGCAGGTGTTGACTACATCTCTCAAAGTGTTTAAATAGACCCGCCCAAGGAACACAGACCAAAACTTGCAGACTTCTCTTATGACAGATAATTACTTGGTTCGAGAGGGGTACGATGCAGCTCCTGCTAAGTCTGGATGGATCATGCAGCTGGGCGGTGGCTGTGTGACAAGCCTTGCTGTTCACCAGCTGCCATGGTGTCCTTGAGCTCACAGGGCTGTTCCAAAAGGGAACGTCCAAGTCACAAGGGACAGGCCATTTGTTCACCTATTAGTCTCCCTCTGGTTGTCTTTTATTCAAAATCTTAGGTGGCACCTCATTGTGTTAAAAATATGAGACTTAAAGCAGTATTTGTTTGCTGTAAAGTAAAATGTATACCAGCTATAACATTATGTACACATCAAGCTGTCTGGATAATCATATAAGTTTCTAATTGGAAAAATGGATGCCAGTTGAACTTGTTTTCTGCACTGTTTCTATCATTTGTTCTGGCTGCCCAGCAGCAATGAAGCCTTGATTTGCACAGAGAAGAGGGGTCACCTGTTTGTATAATTCTGTGGAAGCGGTTGAGTACAAGGGAACTTGACAAAGTTTGTGGGAAAACTGAATTAAACGTAAGTATATTTTACTGCAAAAAAAATGTCTTAAATCCAAGCAGTTTTTAATGTTATGCATTTTCCATGAAAATTTTGAACACTCTTTGTATAGGCCTGTGTTTTAAAATCCCAGTGTAATAACTTTCTGAGCCAATGAAATATTAGGCTTACAAGAAGCTACGCAGTAGACACCTCACCTGCAGTCTGAAAAATGTCTAAGTATACTTGCTGATTCATTAATCCAGTGGTGGTCTTTAGCTGCCATTCCAGGTGATAAACATAGTATGTGTTTGTTTGTTTTAGGTTTTATTGCAGTTTAAAAAGTCACATATGTAGTGGTACAGTGGGTTAATCTACCACCTGCCCTGTAGGTATCCCCTATGGGCAGCAGGTGAAGTTCCAGCTGCTCCACTTTTGACCAAGATCTGTGCTAGCACACCTGGGACAGCAGCATAAAATACCCTAATGCCTCAGGCCTGTTGCATGTCCATCTGGGAGACCCAGAGGGAGTTCCTGGCTCCTGACTTCAGTCTTGCCTAGCCCTGGCCATCACAGTCATTTATGGGAATGAAAACGCAGATGGAAGAGCTTTGTCTCTCCCTCTCTCTGTTACTCTGCCCTTCAGATAAATCTAAAACAAAATGTTAAAAAATTAAACATACATTTTTTTAACGTTTGTGTTACATTTTCGTCAAAACCCCAGGATACCACAGGACAATCTGAAAACAGCTGTTGGAGGCCCAACATGCTAAGTTATTTTAAGATAATTTGGGAAGCCATCATTTGATGAAATGATAGCTTGCTTTGTTTCTGTTTTTATTTTTCCTTTTCCTCCAAAATGTCAGGCTCAATGTGATTCACCAATATTTCTGGAGTGTCTGCCCCCAACGGATGGCACTATGCTCGGCTTCACAATATAGTTTTGAAAGACAAACTAAAGATTCACTCTGAACTAGGAAGTATTTGCAGCATCTGTTTCTTTCCGGTTGAAGGTCCAAGTAATACTAAGCTGTCTTTATATGTTCTCACTAAATGATACCCAACTCAAAATGTCATTAGAATACAGTTGTAGCTGGCCCTGTTGAGGAAGGGAATGTCTTTGGCCCTCCATTACGCCAGTACCGGAAGCCATCGCATACTGGGCAGGATCACGATTTGCTGAGTGGAGGGGGAGATTGTTTCTACTCTCACAACATGGCTATCACGTTCCCTAACAAGAATATGCAGGGTGGCTGGGAGAGAAGTTTAGCAGTACAAGGAAACTCCTAAATGCTCATAGAAAAATGTGTACAATCAAACAATATGCACATGCATTTCAAACATCTTTGAAGCAAAAGCTTATTTTATTTTTAAAAATTAATAATTTTAAATATTAAAAAGACAACTTGAGTTTTCACCAAGTTTTTGCAGTACCCTCTTTAGATAGATTTATGGACAGGCAAAATGGCATTTGGTGACTGGAAGCTGTGCTCTGAGAGGCTGCCCACCAGAACAGAAGGAAGTTTATAGTGTGCTTCCTTGTTGAACAATTACTCCTTGGGGGAAAAAATACCCTCCTACGAGGCAAAAGGAAAAGAAGGAGAGGAAGGGTTAAACCATGTGAGAAGGGAAATCAGAGTAACTTTCTGAATCACCTGCTACGCAGAAAGGGCAGGAAGGCAGTATTAAATTTGGGATATTGTCAAACAGGAAGCAAAACTGGTACACAATAGAATGTTTAAATCATGTTTTAATAGACAGGAAGCCACTGAGAGTTGCAGCTACTGCCTGAACATCAGGCAGCTTTGAAACCAGGAGGTTGAGATACTTGTCGGGAATGTTCGATTTCCATCTAAGTCTAGAATGCACCAAGGTTACCATATGTGTTAACATATGTAAGCCGATTTGTGTTTACCAGCATGGGAGATGGGGGTGGGCAGACAGCTGGATGGGATGATCATATTCCCCACTCTTACACAATCTGGCAGAGTAGACGGGGTGTCTTAGACTAGCAAGTGTGGGAAATCCCCATCTTTTTGAAGCACAGTGCTGCTGTGAGTAATGCAAACATTTTCCTAAAC